AAAAAAAAAAAAAAAAAAAAATTCTGGATTAATTTTTTTTTTTGGTTATATTTTTCGTGTATAAATTTAAAAATTAAGTAAAAAATTTAAAACTAAAAGAATAATTTTTAAAAACTTACTTTTTAAAATATGACTAATAATTCTAATATGAAATTTGTAAACAAATAGAGTTTAAAAAAATACAAAAAATCAAATAGCTATATATTGTAAAATAAATATTTTTTTAACTTTAAATTTTGATTAAAAGTTATTGTTCTTTAATAAATATGAAAAATAAGTATTAGGAAGAGATTTGTGAAATTTAGACTATTATTTTTCTTTCTATCGGAAAAATTAAATTATTCTTTTCAAAAAAGTATATTAAAAATAAAAAAATAAAAAAAAAAGATCCCAAATGGATTAGATGGGTCCACAATGAAAGTGGTCCACTCATGGTGTAATGGGCCGTAGAGCCCATATTTTCATTTGACTTCTAGAATGGGTTCTTTTTCAATTGATACCATACTAAATGACTAATTCTATTCTTTCACTTACCTAAGTTCATTTTTTTAAATACAATCTTATAAAATAAAGTTCGAGAAATTTAGCAAAACGTTTTGGAAAGCATTTTGAGAAAGTGAAACAAGAGATGCAGTCACGAGCTATATGTCTTGGACAAGTATGATCGTGGTATCCTCTCTTATAAAAACACTTATTGTGCACATTTATTCAGTCTCTTCCACTCGTAAAGGGTTGGCTATTACTTCCCCACAATCTGAGTTTGGTAAGTACTTGGTCTTCTGCTTGAGATTTCAACGGTCATCGCTTAGGATTGACCCACTTTCTCTCAGTGGTGAGAGTGAGTGGCGCATAATGGCTACGAACGTCCTGAAGGAACGCGATTGTGACAAACACATGTGACGTGAATGATTATGTTGTGCACATAATCTCAGACAGTTTTTCTAGTTGAGACACTGGTAGTTAAATTGAGCTATATTGACCAAATTCTTTTGTCACATATTCTTCAAACATTATATTGAGGTGTTTAATCTTTCCATCAGTTAAGGGAACTCCAATTTGCGATGTATACAAAGTTGGGCCCATAGGCTTTCTTGCCTCAAAGCTTCCTGTGAAAGAGAACTATCCAGTGGCCCATACATAAGCCCAATAGTATAAAAATCTAGGCCCAAAATTTGCTAATGGGCCACAGCGACATTATCTCCCATCTAAAACAGGCCCACTTTTTGATGTTAAAATCGAAAATATTGACCAAATAGTATGAATACAAATATATTTTCTATTTAATTATATATTTATATGATTAACAAAATATATGCCAAATTTAAAAATAATATAATTAAAAATATTCATATAGTGGATATATTCTAAAATTAAATATCCATCTTCTTGTTCTCGATCATTTAAATTTAATACAATTAATGAATTTTATATTGAAAAAGTACCCGGTGAATCCATTTGAAGAAAGACTGAAAGAATAAATATTTATGTCGATTTATATATATATATATATAATATTCTATACCCACTATTTATTTTAAATAATTAAAATTGTAATTTTTTTGTATTATTATAATATGATGTTTTGATTTAAGCTTAATGCATTAAATACATTACTAAGTTTTATATTGTTAATCATATTTCTAATAATTATATTAAATTAGCTAAAATATTAAGATTTTAAGATTCTATAAAATATTAAAATTTAAATTTATATATAATAAATTTTAAAAATTTTAAATTTATAGGGATCTATATCAATTTGAATTTAATATCCTTTTCTAGGTATACATGTAAAAAGTTGAAAAGGCTACTACTTTTTATTTTTTATTTTTTATTTTTTATTTTTTATTTTTTATTTTTTATTTTTAATAATGAAAAGGTATAAAGCCTATTCCATTTAATGAACCATTAGAGTTTTAGTGAACCATCAACTTTATCTACTTTTTATTTTAAAATGTAATTTTTTTTTTTTGTCTCAAAATTGTATAATTTTCTTTTATTTTTAGGTTTGAAAATATTATTTAAATTTAATTAATTTTAGTTTCAAATTGTTACATTTTTCCTACTAATACTTACTTTTACTCTTGAGTTTTTATTATTGAGGCTTACTTATATTCTAGTTTAAATATTATCATATAATTTTTAAAAAATTAATTTAATAATAATGAAAAATTAGTGAAAATTAATTAATATAAAATAAATGATTGAGTGAGTTATGAAAACTCTTAAAGTATATATATAAAATCTTGAAAAAAAAATTATAAAAATGTAACATTTTGTAACTTAGAATTCATATATATATATATATATATATATATAAGAAATTATAATATATTAGGTTTAAAGACCAAATAAAAATTATATTAAAAACGGATGGCGAAAAGATATTTTTCTCAACCTTTTATTTAGAGAAAATAAAATTTCCAATTATAGAAAGTCGTTAGAAACAGTGCTCAGACTCCTGGGATAGCGACACGTGTCAATTTATTTCTTTATATTCTTGATGCTTCTCTACAAATATTTATTCCAACTAAAATGACAGTTCCTTTAATTTATTCTTTGAAAACCACAATTTTATGAAAATTTTAAATAGCTTTGTGTATATTATAGTTTGGTCCAAAGTTTTAATTATTTTACCATTTTCTTTTTTGTATTTAAAACTTTAAATTATAAATTTAATAATTAATGTTAGAACCTTTTAAAATTTATCAATCTTAGTAAATACAAAATTACTAAAACTAAATCAATTATTTTTTAATAATTTTTAATACCAAGGATCTATTAAACACAAAATTAAAAGTTGAGAATCTAGAATGTTTGAATTAATAACCGTTTTCTTTTGTGAATACTTTCTAACACTTCTCCAGATAAATTTTGAGTTGAATCTAAATTTAAACTGTTAGTGTGAACTTACCCATACAGTTATGCCCTCTTCCAATAAAAATCA